CTTCCCGCCATTAAAAACAAACTGGGGGACACTTTGTACCAGATCTATCCAGAGATGATGAACTCAAGCGAGTTGCCCCATCCTGCCCTGGATGGTGTGTCCAACCGCTGAGCTGACCCAAGCCGGGAGCATTCAGCAACGGGTTTAACCAGCCAAGGACAGACCGTTTCTCCGAAGGCAACGCCATCGGCCTTTATTACAGAGACACAGAACCTCCGTTTTACCATAGAAACACTTCTAGTGTCAGTATTTATTTTACCTTAATATACATTTATACAGGCCAGAATAAAAAGGCTATTACGCAACAGTTCAGTGAGTTATTACCTAGTTTCAAGAATAATGCATGCAATTACAAAGGAGAGGTAGAAACACCGTATTAAAGACCTAAAAATACAAACATTATATAAACAAACACTTTCAAATTAACTGTTGGAATTTCATACAGATAAATAAGGTAAAAAGTACATTACTCTGTCAAAGTAAAGGAAACACATGGTTATCCGAACACTGAAAACGATATTTTGATGTGTAAGCCCTGTACAACTTTGTCAGATAGTTCAGACCACTGTGTTTTAGAGGATTAAAATGAGTTTTTGTCCTGGAGAATGGTTTATTCAAGTATTCAAGCAGTTGAGTAACAAAAAACGTGTCCCCAAAATAAAGTATAGGAACCATTTCCAGAGAAGCTGATCTGCCCAAATACTTTGCAAATCGCTGTCCTGATGATCCCTGGGATGCTTGAAATGATAATGCCTATAAGGCTTAACGAAGCTTCCCACCTCTCCCCCAAAATGCACACAATATAATCCCGATTTTCCCCACACACTGTATGTAAATATTCCGCATCAATTTATCAGCATCTCAAACCCCCGACATTATTTTCTGGTTTTGCATGGTTCCTTGCAGAACCTTTCAGTTTACAGTATTTGTTGTAATACTGCCCAAGAAACACACGACGGAGAACTGTCATTACACCCCTAGAGACTGCAGGCATCAACGCACCTACCGCATGCACAACAAAAGATGCAACCAAATCTAGATAAAAAGCAAACAACCAGCAACTCAACACTGCTATTACTGAGAAAGTCCGGAGCAGTAGTTACTCAAGTATTAGACAAATAGGTATAAAATGGAAAGGTTCACATGAATACAAGTTTGTACAGTTTGTTTGAGAGTCTTCTAGAAGCTACATTTGAAATTCTGAAAAGAATTTTATGTACACTGAAATGTAATTCAGCCAAGTCCATTGTGCCTTCTTTCTCTCATTTAATATAGTTCTTCAAAAATGAATATACAGTTGCTTTAGTAAATTAGTGCAAAACAAAAATATTTCGGAAGAAGATCATCAAATTGTAGCCACATCAGCCGAAAATCCACGGGGGATTTTGCAGAGAGGGAGCACAGTTTCTTCCATCACCACCTCTACCCTGTGTAAAAGGGCACCTTCTCGCCATCCCTCCACACGACAAGCTGAGCCCTGCCTACAACCTACGAGCTCCGACACAAGCCAGCTTAGCCCCAGAAGCTTCCAACAGCACTTGCACATGGTTAGGGTTTCCCAAATTCGCTCTGCCACATTTTACTGACCATTTAAAAATGTTTTTTTACAAACTTTTGAGGAAATCTTCTGAGGGAAATGTCTTTTTGTACCTGATGCAGAAGGATCCACTCTCTATAAACCTCAGGAGGAAAAAGCAAACCCCTGATCATTCGAGTTCAAAGCACACGTACAAGGATCAGTCTGAAATGTGAAGAGAGATTCTTTTAAATTCTGTTGCTAGGAAGAAAAAGGAGCTGCTGTATCAGTAAGGCAAGTGTACTTTTGGAATTTCTCCTCTTTGAATACGCTGCTGTTTCTTTGGTAGTCACCACAGAACTGTCAGAATCATCTTCCACGTGGGGCAGAACAAGGACAACAATTAAGCTGTAGTCAAAAAAGTGCAGTATCACTGATGTGGTCCCTTATGTTCACACCATCTGGTCCTTGGGATATTCCTACTGCTCATATACAGCCACTGTGCTATAGCAAAGTGCGGAAAGCCTTCGCTCGATGCTAGATTTATCTGCAGAGAGAGGTAAAAAATAGGTGATGACCTCAGCGTTATTTTACAAGGCATTAATTCCACGTAATTTTCAACGTTTTCATTATTTATCATACACTTACACTTGTGTACGTTTTCTATATCTGCAGGGTCCTGCAGTATTTTAGTCAGTCCTTCCAGCAGCAGGGCTGCTTTGTGGTATCGATATGTGATATCTTCAGTTTGCTGAAACATCTCATCCAGAGCTGCTGACTGAACCTGGAATCATTCAGGAGATTCAGTTACATAAACGGCATTAGGCAAGTAATGAAGTGAAAAACTCAAAATGAACGATATAAAAGTGTCACTCAGAAACTATTTTCAAGCTTTAAGGTAGCTGATCTGTTGCTGTAACTGTAAGACAACAAAACGAAGTCTGAGAGGACACAGCGCCTGCATGGTGTTAACTAAGGACATTCTGCACATACAAGCTATAAAAGCACTTCTTGATCTTTTGTTGTAAGACATGTAAACACAATATATGAATAAATATCACAGAATCATCAAATGGTTTGGGTTGGAAGGGACCTTAAAGATCTTCTAGTTCCACCCCCCTGCCATGGGCAGGGACACCTTCCACTAGACCAGGTTGCTCCAAGCCTCATCCAGCCTGGCCTTGGACACTTCCAGGGATGGGGCATCCACCGCTTCTCTGGGCAACCTGTCCCAGGGCTTCCCCACCCTCTCTGGGAAGAACTTCTTCCTGATATCTAATCTAAACCTCCCCACTTTCAATTTAAACCCGTTACCCCTTGTCCTGTCACTACAGGCCCTTGTAAAAAGTCCCCCCCAGCTTCCTTGTAGCCCCTTCAGGTACTGGAAGGCTGCAATAAGGTCTCCCTGGAGCCTTGTCTTCTCCAGGCTGAAAAAGCCCAATTCTCTCAGCCTTTCATCATCGGAGAGGTGCTCCAGCCCTCTGATCATCTTCGTGGCCTCCTCTGGACTCGCTCCAACATATCCTTGTTCTTATACCTACATTCTCTTGTAAAGACAACTAATGTGCGACTACACCATTAGCAGGGTTAAGCACAACACTTCCCAGCATCTTTTGCGTCACAACTATGTTAAAAAGACTTCCCTCTCATTTAAAAAAAAAAAAAAACCCAAAAAAAAAAACCACCCCAGCAGTTAAAAAGCAGTTTCCCGTATGGTTACTTCAGTTTCTCCATGGCAGACAAAATATATCAATTATATCAAAAGCTTCCACATGTTTGCTACCTTTTTTTGCTTTTTACAGACAGGCTGATGTTCTTCCAACCGACCAGGGAGACTGATGAAGCTACTTCTGTTGCTGCTATGCTTTAATAAGCCTGACTGGATGAGACTTCAGCACAGAGGGCTCTGTGGCTTAAGAGTTCATTTCCTACTGTTTATGTACCAAACGTGCTGATGCAGGGGAAATGTCCCTGAGGAACAGTATCTGCCAGGAACTTTAGCCACAGTTAAGGCAGGGCAGGAAAGAGAGCGAAAGGAGTAATAAAAATTACCACGAGCAGAATTCTGGAAACATACATTCTGTTTTCTGGTTGTGTACAAGAGGTACGTGAGAGAAGGAAGCGATTCACCTCCCTGTCCTATCACTTAGGTAAAAGGAGCAACTTACCATTTCTACAGCACAGCTGTAGATGAGCTTCTCTGCAGTTACACTGTTGATTTCATCAATGAACCTTTGCTTGTCCGAAAAGAAACGATTTAACTTTTCCGTCAATTTCTTGCACATGCCGATACAGAATTTGTATCTCTCGTTGAGGCTTTTCACAACTGGAAGAAAGGTAAGAAGAAATTAAAAACCAAAAAACAAAGCCCAAAAAACCCACACAGCCAAACAACAACACTGCCTAAGTTTGGCTTTCCTAGTGCTGGGAAAAGCCAATCTGTTTCAACCTGTGCTTTTAATGTTATTTACTCTGCCACTTCTATGAATTAGGTACATATCAAATAATTCCCATTTCCAGTTAATAACTGCACATTTCTTAAGTTTCTAGCTGTATCTTTGTTTACTATCAGAATTGTGCAACGGTACATATCTGCAATTCTCTTGTACAGAAGAAAACAAACAAATGTTGCAACTTAAGCTCTGAGTGATGTATCACCAAAGAAAATAGACAAGCAAAACAAATTTGATTACGTTGCATCTACCTTGCTTAACAGCAGTGGATGGGTTCAGTTTCCCAGATTTGACCTGTGCTTTGGCAAGATGCAGAGAAGATGCTAGTAACTGGGCGGCCTTCATATACAACACCAGCTGTTCTACTTGTCTAGAAAGGGGGAGGAAGGAGAAAAAAAAAAAGAGTAATTATGTATCAAAACACCTTTCTTGAACAGGCTGGAGCCGTGGGCAGACACCACTTTTTAATCACAACCCTACACAGGGCCCAGCAGCAGCAGCAAAGGAAGACAGATGTTTAAAATGCAACCAGCCCTCCCTTCCCTTCCCAAACAGTGTCACGGGTTGAGAGTACAGCTGCTCATCTAGCAGCTGCAGCAGCCAAGGCCAACTGCTTTAAAGCAGGCATTTCAAAAAGGAACACTTATCTGTGGGGACTAACTGCCCGAGGTCAACGCCTTACCACAAGTGGCTGGGTGGATTTTTCTCGCAGAGTCATTTCCCTATGCCCCTGGAATTCTCAGCTGTGAGAAGCAAACACTTTGCAGGGTGGGTATTTTTGGTGGTGTTTTTCAGGAAGAAGGCAGGAAGTGGAACTGCCCTTTCCCACCACTCCAAATTTCTCACATTTCTCCTTGCTTCTGATTTTGTATTAGGGTGCCACTAAAAAAAGGTCAAGTTTGGACACTCCATCCCAACCTTCACCTCAGTGCTACTGGCCAAGGAACAGAAGAAGGCTCCGATCTGACAGAAGCTGGTACACAAATTTCCGGCTCAGAAATGCTACAGTGCTCCTCAAGCCTGAACTCCTCACTACCTTCCCCAACCTATGGGCCAGGTCAGAAAACACTGTCCTTTTATCTGTCTGCTGGCAAATGCCTCTGTATCCTTTGTTCTCTCTTTCTGATCGGTCTTTGGTTGTTAAAAAAATGTATTCCTGTAAAATGTTCTATAGAGTAAAACAATCACTCCCACCAAAGAGAGGGCATAGCTTGCCTGAATACGTTTTTGATGAATTCAGTATTCACTAGTTCTCCTGATGCTATCTGACAGCATACTTACCCCCATTCTTTGCTGAGCTGGCTGATCTGATCAACAACTATGCTCTCCTGGATTTGATACAGCGATACTGCAGAAGTACACAGGTCTGGGTTTCCTCCTCGCACTGCTGTCAGATCCAGAACGCACTCTGTAAATGTCAGCATCATGTTCAGATGACGCAGGGTATCTGTATGTTCTCTCTGTCAGAGGGAAAGATGACAACACTTTAACCATTATAAGCTGTAAGGCAAACAAGGACACTCCAAACTTGCTAATCATTTCAGGATTTCTTGGTATGGCAATTCTATGCAGAAATCACAGTGTAGTGGAGCCAGTGCTAGGGACTACAGAACCAAACGGGTCCGAACAGATCAACAGATATTAACTTGTTCTCTCTTCATTAATGATTTCAAGACACTGTAGCTTATACTTAAGAGTCTTTCAACAAAGCCAAAGAACTGGGACATGGATTTCTGTGTTTGCTGAAACCTGAGCAACTAAAGGAATCACAAGTGGGACATATTACTTTTTATATTTATCAGCAACCCAAAAATATGCTCGGCACTTGTATGAGAAGCCAGGGGGAACATTTGGCTTTTATTATACACCAGACTTGATACCTACAAAAGAACTGATCTAAAGCTTCATACTTATCTGCTTCACTCAAATTTACACTTAGATCTAGAATTATATTGTCTTAAAAGGTGGCTGTTGCCAGAGTTTACAATTTGAACTAAACAATTTCAATTGGAGCTAAAACTCCCTGCTTCTTGGTGACCAAAACAGGTATTACATGCATCGCCTCTGCGAAAAATGAAATAGCCTTCAAAACTAATCAAACATTAAGTAGCAATATTTATAATCTTTGCATTAGTAATGAAGGTTTAAACACATTTTAAACTCTATCTGTGGGACAAAACCAGCACACTGTCAAACATTCATACTGTAACATATAGATTCAACAGGGACCCAAACACCTTCCAGCAAGATGAGAATGAGAAACCGGAACAGCAATCTGCCTTGAGAAATTCACAGTCCAAGGATAGCATTCTGGTGAAAGACCACCCCAATTTGTGGTTTTGAGGTGTCACTCCTCCACACGTTTTAAAAAATATAGGACACACTTCCCACGAGCAGGATTTAATGTCATCCACTGACTGTGAAGCAGCAGTTAAGAACAACGCCCAGAGGGGCAGCGCTACTGTCAGCGCCCATGTCCAGAGACTTGGCATTAGAACAGAGGCCTCTTTGGAAGGCTCTGGTGAACAGCATGGGCATGTTCCTTGGGTTGGGAAATGCCAGGGGTAACGACCAAAGAGAAACTGGCCACAGTTGATACAGGAATATTATCAACATCTTAAAAGGAATATGTGAAATAGCTTCCCCTTCACTACGAAGTGCACTGAGCATTCCTGTGTGTACCATGTCTCTGTTTTAGCAGCATTACACATTATAAAACATTAAATTATTTTTTCTATACCTCCATTAAAGTTTCCTCAGGCAATTCAGGAGCTTCAAAAGTGATAAAGCCCTCTAAGCTGGGAGGCGAAGTACCATAAGGCATGTACTTCAGACTCGGAGCTGCCTCGGCTCCCGGAGGAGAAGAACCCATATAAATACCAGGAGGAGAGCCCATATATACACGGCCACTAGTAGAGCAGAGAGACCCTCCAGAACTGTTTGATCCAACTACAAGAAAAATAACACACATATTCAGTCTAATCGGTGGTCCCATCTCGCAGCGCTGGGACTGCGGATGACAGCAAATGACAAATCAGTAGTCATCACAGATTCACTCTTGGGAGGCTCTCCTCATTGTTCCTTGCATCACTCTGTAGAGAATGCAAAGGCGACACCTTAACCAACAGTGACTTTTCGTAACACAGATTCTGGGGAATGGTTGACAAGGATTCCAAGGCAGACAGTCCAATAGTACAGACCAAAGGTTGTGCCACAGTTCACAAGAGCACATTGCGGCAGGCTCCTGCTCATCCTGAGCAGATGAAGATACCTTGAGATCTTTGGTATCTGGCAACGTAGCCAACACATGCCGAAACGGAGTCGGCTCACACCCCTTGCGTGTGGTTTCTGGTACAACGCACAGCAGCAGGTAAAAATGCAGAATTAGATTTCTAACTTTTCCTCTCCACCTTTGTCACAGAGATCTATTATACTCCCTGAGGTAGAGTAAAGCTACGGACCCGGGTTATGCACTGTTGCACTGTAAATCTGTGCCACCGGCCCTCTCTTTAGGAGAGAAAAGGCAGAAGTAACCTGATACTAATCTCTACTTTACAGAGTATGGCCTAGAAGACCTACTGTGCAAGGCAGTGATCAGGTATACTAGCCCAGGAAGTGGGCAAGCCTAAATATTGCACTTAAAGCAGTCCACAGTTGTCAGCAAGTCTTACCTGAGGTGGTTCTGGTTCTGAGGACCATATGGGTGCAGGTAGGAGGGGTGGCGCTGCTTGGAGGGGACCCAACAGTAAACATGACAGCCCGAGAACTTGCCCCGCTTCCCATGGAAGGAGGTGCCATTGCAATTCCATAGGTCCCTGCCGGAGCTGGAAGAGAATATTTCAGTAAGTTAGCCCCTATTACATATAATCACACCAGTAAGTTATGACATGCAGCACAGTGGAGCACTGCAACACAATGTGCTTTGATGAAGATCCAAGACTTGGACTAGTTAGAAGTTCTGACAGCAAATAAAGCAAGCTGACTGGATAGCCCTGGTGATACACAAAGAGTCAAGATACAGTCTACACATCTCTTTTTACTTTCAATCTCTCTGCTCTACTCTCAGATACCTAGAAAAGAGCAACAGAGGCTCCATCTGAGAGCCTGAGGATGCCACCAGCCCTGCAGCAAGAGAGACAACAGAAATGCTAAAGGCAGACCATGCCAGGTCTGGAGGCTAAAGACACTGCAGAACTCCTTCCATCTGTTCAGAAACAAGGTGGGAACTTCTGGTGGCCATGTGTGCCAAGGCAGAAGCTGGGGGAGGGAGGAGAAAAAAAAATGATCCAAAATTACATAAAATGGTTTTTATATGAAAACAAGGTGGAATTAGGAAATGAAACAGCCACAAATGATGTATTAAAAATGAAACTAAATTAAAAAAAAAATTCAAACCGCTCTAGCCAGTGTAAGCAGTTGAGATATTTCTGTGTTTAGCACAGAAAGAGATATTTTCCTGTCTCAGTTATTTTTAAAAGCTATGCTAAAGAAACAGAACATATTCCCTCAAAGATTAAAAAAAGCCTTCTCTACAGAGGCTAAAAATTGTCAGAACCAATTACCGAAGTTAGAAGCAGAACTGTATCTAGTTGGCACTCCATAAAAACCCTAACACAGAGTTTGGATGAATCAATCTGTTCCTTACCTGTATCCATTGGTCGCTCTGTATTGAGGCTGTCTGTACTGCCTTGATATAACTGCCCACCAAGGGTAGTCTTTACCTGCTGATCTGACAGCTTCCCCGTACTAACAGACCTAGACAGAAAAACACGAATTCACACCAAAGTTCTTCAGAAAGATCTTTCTGTCTAACTAGCAACTAAGGATAACGTTCAGATTCTTCATATTTATCAGAGAGATTTCTTCTACAAAAGTACAGAAAGTGTTGAAATCTCGCTGTTCATCACGGACCCACTGAAATAGAGCTAACCGTAGAGACCTTTTTCCTCTTAAAAATTTGCATTTCAAATTTTGTCATGCAGATTTTCAAGCAAACGTTGAACAGGCTTCATAGAGGCAATGAAATTCCATATGCAGATAAGCAAAACAAAAGGGAACTAGACAGCAGCACAAAGCTCTCCAGGAAGTCCAGGCTATATTTATACACAGTACAAAATGTTTCTGTTGTATACACCAAACCTCAGCATCCCCTCACAGCTCACTTTTTACATCCTCTTCTCCTCCACGCTCCTATGCACAATGTACATTCTTCTGCCAAGTTGCCTACCCAGCTCTACAGGTTATAAAGCCTACAGTGCCTACCTGCCGAATGTAGTTTTGCTGTGCTGTTCTCCTGCCTGCTTTTCACCTCCCCGGGTCGAGTGGAAGTGCGTGAAATCCCTTGGGTCAGTGATGTCTTTAGGCTGCAACGGCGTATCTACTGAGCCCTGGCGATTAGCCAGGGCCAGCAAGTTTGAAGATGCTTGAGTTTTAGGTATTTTGAAAGGAGCTGTTGCCTTTAAGAATCAAGACCAGGAAAAACAAAAGTTAGAATCCCAAAATATTCTTGGGAACAGTTTCAGGCAGTCTGTTAGCACTTGGTATTTTACTGACAGCGGCAAACTTAACAAACCTTAGTAGGAGAGCCAATGATTGTTGGTAATGGACTTTTGAACAGCCAGTCTGAATTCCTAGGTGACGATCCCATATGCTTGGTAGGTGATGTTCCCAGGCTAACTGGCCTACTTGGCTGTGGAGAATGACTGTATCCATACCCAGCGTAGGATGGGCATACCGGGTCTGAATGCTGCTTTCTGAGCTTCTGCTTGTTTTGGTAAATATCTGTGAGAGTAGGAGCACTCTGCAACCTTGCTCCCATCAAAAGCGACTGTGGAGACTGCGATGGTGGTATTGGAGAACCTGTGGGGATGAAAAACAATGATGTAAAATTCCATTTGCAGTACTTGCAAAACATATCAATGAAGCCCAAAATGCCAGAGATCAACATGAAACTGAAAGGAGGTGGGACTGCAAATATCCTGAGACGTATTTATTTGATCATCAGCTCACTAGACGGCAAGGAGAATGGGTTTAGCCCATTTGGACTAAGGCTACAGTACACTGATGAGACGTTCAAGCTGCCAAATAGGTGAGATTTCAGGGTGACAGCTGTACTGGCAGCTGCAGTACCTCTGGCAACCTGCATCAAGACAGATAAAGTGGTTGGATTCAGAAGGAACGGCATAACCAACACTGAAATTTCAAGTGCAGCCGCCAAGACTCTAGGTTGAACAGAGGGTCTCAAGTAGTGGAATTACATTCCTGCAAACAAGCGCGTGATTGCGACACTGCATGTTAATGACTTGTTTTGTACAGAATGACGTCATTTGCAGACACAAAAGGCAGCTCATCTCATGGTTTCTGCAAGAAAACTAGGTGCTAAAAAGAACCAAATTATTCAGGTGGAACAGTTTGGGATCATTACTTTGGGCAGTCATTTACTTTTTAGGCTGTCAGGCTGAATATTTTTCAAAAGCTTACTATGTACAAAGGAAGTTCACACTCAAGTATGAATGCAAAGCTTCTCCTAACACAAATAGAAATGGAAGAGCTCTAAGTAATCATTTAAACAGCGGGATTTGGGGAAATATCTCTTCTGAACATCTCGCCTACCGAAAGGTGCCCTTTCTCTTTCAAAATAAGGAACCTGAAATTTGATAGAATGCGCTCTTCCTTGTGATATTTTCATGTCTCATGATGAGGAACTGTGCAAAGTTACAAGCAGCACATAAGACTTCAGCTTTACGGCCACAGCTTCCCAGATAAATGCCTATCTTTAGCCTCAAGGAACTGACACTGAAGTGACAATTTCACTCATGTTTAAAAAAAAAAAAAGGCAAAACTGCAAATGAACCAAAGTAACTAGGTAAGATTTTTAAGAGCTGGCCAAGACAATCTTCTGAGACAGGCTCCATTTCATAAATGTATGCTCAAAAACACCACCACAAACTTCTTGTGGTTTGCTCGGTGAAGTGCCCAGCTGTTAAAACACATCTTTCACCCCCCTTAAGCCTATGCTTTTGCTAGTTAGATTTTGAATATGAGCTACTTCATCCTGATGTCATTCCACTCCATTTAACGGTATGTTTTAGAATAGCCTCTCTGCCTGCAGAGGGATCGAGTCTATTTCTCATTAACTTCCCAGCCAAGAAATTGAAATCCCTCTGCTCGTCTGCCTCAGAGCACTAAAAGCCCTCACCTGTAATTTCAGAAACCAGTCTTAAATCTCACTGGTGACTGTTCTAGTGTCATTGCCACCCCAGGAAAGGCTTCTCAATTAGAAGTTTTCCTCTGCTGCCACTGGCAGCAAGAGCAGCTCAATTAGTTCAGAAGCTACATTCCGACAGACATCTCCGGTCCTTAGAAAATATCAGTACAGATGACCTCACTTCACCCAGAAGCAAAACACAGCCTCCCATACCCACTGAAATGCTGACAAACAGCCTGGCTGCAATTTGTGGTATTTTACACACAGAAATAAAATTAAGAATTTGCAGAATTGGAATTAAAGAATTTGAAATTAAGAAATAAAATCAAGTAGGAAAATAATGTAGGAAACAGATAAAGAACTGAAACATTAAAACCTTACAGCTATAGAAACAGTGCTGTGGTCAGTTTGACACTGGCAAAAGGCACCAAACCAACAGCCCTACAAAATTCTATCCACAGAAAAGCAGCAGCAAGAAAAGGATACACACTGCTCTTTATTCTCTTCACACATGCCCTTTTCTGGTTTTCCCTTTTTAAGAGAAGAGACTATTTCAAATCTGAGGATTCACTCATTCTTGGCTTTTGCTGAGACTGCCAATGACATAGCAATTCCGAAGGCAGTTTTTGAGACACATACAGAACTTACTTCATACGGATGAAACTATTTCCAGGTATCTGAAATATGGCTACTCCAAGAAATAAAGGCTCCGTCATCTCAGATGATTTTGGAAAGTGTTTAAATAAGGGAAAAAACGCACAATGCAGCTTCAACAGCACCTCTTCGAAAGTCAAAATAAGAGCTATAACTGGTATTTTAGATAAAAAAGAAACTGCACCCAAAATGTGCTCAGAGCAAAAGAACGTGTTGCTGAATTGCATATTCGTATGCTCAATCCTTCTGGCATTACAGTGCAATTCCATCTTTAACAGCCTCAGAACATCTTCAAGTCCTGTTTCTTCCCTATTTCCCCCACCCTCACCCCTGCTGGCATGGTATAATAATTTATGGCTTGAAAAGCTTATTGACTGCTTAGCAACACTAACATCAGATCCCAGACAACTTCCTAAGGGAATGTGGAAAACGTGCTGCATGCTGTACACTGGCAGTTCCTCCCTATTCTGAGGACTGGCATGAAAAGCTGGTCTATCAAAACCAGATTTTGAGAAGTGTATTACTACCATTCCCTACAGTCCATCCACTTCCATCCCTGTTTAAAAACAGGCATTATCAGAGTTGCTTTTTCATCCTGAAAAGAAACTTCAGTCACTCTCGTATTGTGCAGGGAATTAGTTATGGGGAAAGGTGTCTCAATACAGTCACAACTGGACTCAGTTTCTACAGAAACTCAGCGCATTGCTTACCCAGCATCCCCTACTAACCCACACTAACACAGTGTCAGCTCCCCTCCCCCTTCACAAAACGCTGTAGAAGCTCTATCAAAACAGTACTGGTCACACTGCCCGAAGACACTCACCTGAGAAGTTTCTACTCCTCGATTCATGTCCTTGGAGCTGTCCGCAACAGCAGTGTCCCAGCTGCTCAGGTATGGTTCCAACTAGGCAAACAAAATCAAAATGTCAATTTACACTTTATACTTCACCTACAAATGAAGGTAAAGCAAAATAAAACCTGGTTAGTTTACTTCTGAGAGTCATTTAACAGAAATCATTTCTGCAAGTTAGGCAGATTTTGGTTTAAGATAATTCCAAGCAAGAATTAGTGTTCTGAACCACTGCTCCAGATAAACCTTTACTAATTGCTAAGAATTTATGGGCTTACCGAGTGGCGAAGGAGAATAGGGTCTAGAAGACCCTGTGGATAACCTGCGCCCCACACCCTGTGCAGTGTCCGCTGGTACTGGAGAACAGGAGCCCATCTTCATGAAGCCCATTGGGCTAGTGTTTGAGCGTCTCACAACTCCAGCTCTAGGAATGTTAAAAAGAATGGTTACACACTACAGTAACTGCAGTTCCTCGAGATAAGCTTCAGAATCCCCGAAGGACTCTCATGGCCAGTTAAAGAAAACACGGATATTTAAAGAGAAAGCTATTATGTTGAAGCTTATCAAGCTAATAACTTCAGCTGAGCTTCCCATACTGAAAAGAAGCAAGATCTAACTCCCTTCGGTCACATTGTTTTTAATTTTTAACACCATAACAGTCTGTTAACTGGAGAAAATTAAAACAGATATTCCTTAGCATGCTGGTTCCTGATCTTCAAACAACTCGAACATCAACCACTGAATTTTACAATCAAGTGAAATGTATTCCTGCAAATACCCATTTTTATGGTAGAAAAAAGGAGGAATCTACAACAAAGACTATGACAAGGTTTTGAGTATTTGGTCTGCTATACAGGTCAGATAACTGAAATCAGTTAAATAAATAAAATTAATAAACTTAAATATAGTTAAATAATTAAAATATATTTATGCAAGCATGATACAGTTAAATAAATTAAATATATATATATGAATAAAAAGTAATTAAGGGAAAGACATTTCCCCAAGTGCAGCAGCTATTATAAAATCACAGATCCTGAAAAAATGCAAGGAACCCTGGATTTTGTTTTAATAAAGGTCTCCAGAGTTCTGGGTAGTCTGTTTCTGAGTCTTTGACCTTCACCATCCCAACACTGCAGACCATGAGGCACAGAGTAAGCCTGGCACACTCGAGCTTTGTAATAAGACAAAAGGTTAACTAGCACGCCAAAAATCGTTTCCTTGATATTCTACTGAACAATGCATTCATCACTACATGAGTGAAAACAAACCCTAACTTATTACTGACTTTCTAGTTTATGATGTAATGCCATGTAATACACAAAGAGGAATAAGAAAGCAAGACTTCATCTTTTTACCTCCTTTTCATTAAAAAGTCTCTTCAGTATGTTTTTATGCAGAAAAAAAACAAATGACATCAGCAAGAAAGCACAGCCCTCTGTCAGGGTACAAAGACAAACCAGGACAAAGAAAAAGGAGTTAAAAACCCCCAAACTCACCTGGGTGATCCATGGGGGTTTGACACAGGGCTGGCAGTAGAGGAGAGGTTCTGTTCTATGCGCTGGTAATTCCGTAGCTGAGTGGGAACCGGGATAGGCGCTGTTTCGCTGCGGGGGGATACTGAAGGTTGACAATGCCTGAAGTTGGAAGGTATGGAGACAGGAGATGAATATATGTAGACAGGTGTCTCTCCAAACTGCACCATTGTTGAAATTTCAAGCAAATCTAGGAACCAGGCAAATAAGCTGCTTCTGCACTCCCCACGTGCAGTATGATCTTAGCTCGTCATAATCCAGAGGAAGATCAGAAACTGTTGGTTACCAACTGCCTCTCTTACACTAGCTAGTATCGGCTCGAGCCGAGAGTGCAGCATGAGCTGAAGCACTCCGTCACGCATCACAGCAATCTAGAGATCCCTCCGACTTCCTGCCAAGCCGCCCGCTCTGTTTACCACGCTTCAAAATAGCGTTCTAGGAAAACTCACCGCGCTAAGAACAGGAAGTTCAGCAGCAGGGCTGGAATGTGTACAAAAGCCACTAAAGCACAGGCAGAGATATCCCAAGAGACATTGTGAACTTGCAAAAGGAAAACACGTTACGTAACCACCTCCTGACAAAACGACCAAACCCAAACACCTGAATGTTAATCCAGACCCAAACTGCAGATTAGCGTTACCCAAGTCCAACTGAAGCGGCAGTGACCTGGCTTACCTCCGTGCACTATCTGATAAGGGAAGGAAACCACCGCAACGCAATCACCAACACTTTTAAAGGAAGCCAGAATTCAATGGAAAGAATTTTCAACTAAAGGGCTTTTTGGAAGATAATCAGTTTAGTATCCTGGTCCTTTATTGATAACCTCTTCAGAGAAAGATTAGAAATTCTTAGAGGAAATGTGGAAAAAAGGTCTATCACAAGGTCTAGAAAACAAGCAGTTAGAGCACTCACTGCACAGCTACAGCTGAACAGAAATCTGGGTTTCTGACTGTATTTGTCCTATTCTCCTTGCTACCTCTGAGAATGAGCTATTACTTCCTAATACACATAGAATCATGGAATGGTTTGGGTTGGAAGGGCCCTTAAAGCCCCCCCAGTCCCAACCCCTGCCATGGGCAGGGACACCTTCCATAGACCAGGTTGCTCCAAGCCTCATCCAGCCTGGCCTTGGACACTTCCAGGGATGGGGCATCCACAGCTTCTCTGGGCAACCTGTCTCAGTGCCTCCCCACCCTCTCCGGGAAGAACTTCTTCCTGATATCTAATCTAAACCTCCCCACTTTCAATTTAAACCCGTTACCTCATGTGACACAGAACTTCCTTAGCAAAAAGCAAAAGGCAAGAACTTCATCCCTTTACTGTCACCCAGTTTCTAGATACTACAGACTGATTTGGAAATGAGCAGTGAGCACACAGCCGGTGGAAGGCCCGAAAGCTTCCAAGCAAGGAGAAGGCCGCAAGTGAAAACCACTCCAAGGCAGTGGGCAGCCTGCTACGACTCACACACACACTGAGGTAGCAGAGGCAGGCTCCCTAGGCCCGACCTCCCGGAGAGGAGAAGCAGATGATGTTTAAACCATAGCACCAAGGCTGAGGAGCCACGAAGGCACTTCAACTGTGAAAGTACTCGGCATGGAAAGTGCCTTTCCCTGCTCTCACACAGCCTTGCAGGTAGATACAAGCACGCCCTGTGAGCCATGAGCTCACTGTGGGCAGCACTGCCGTGTTTGCGTGGGGGAGAGGCACGGTGCAGTACCTGCCCTCCCATCAGAGCTCCCCAGCCCAGACCTCGGCTAAGCTCTGGTTGGGCACCCTCGAGTCTGATGTGGTTTGGTACTGGTGAGAGAAGATGCAGCACAGATGTGTGCAGAGCTGCATGCAAATCTTGTTTCTGTGAGAGCCAGAGAATAAAATTAGCCATTAACCACAGGAGAGCAAACTGCCTCCACCTATGCTACCCATCCGGGCTGGAGCCTGAGAAGCGTTACAGCTTCTTCTGCTGGACAAGGCAGCATAACTATAGGTACAATTCATTCTGTTTGATCACCTAAGCAGAAAAATTCACTGTTTCACAGGGCATAACCTTTTGTAATAAAAAAAAAGTCACATGCTATGAAAGAATATTTCTCAGAAAATAAAAAACAAAACCCAAAAGCAGCATCTTGTAGAATATCAGACACACACTCTGCTTCCTTCAGACCGTGCCCCAGGCAGCCAGTTACCGAATTTACTCAACCAACAATTAAATCAAGCTATTACAGTACAAATACCGAGAGTGTGAACAGTAGGCACCTGTTTCTAACCACATTTAGCTCTTAACATCGTAATGTACAGATAACGTAACCAGCACTTTCATAAAACCTGTCGCTCGAAAAACTGTGATGCCTGACAATCTAAAATAGGAGATTACAACGTATTTATACTATATTGCACATGGTCAATCCGGAGCAAATGGATCTTTACAGACATACCATCCCCATTATCTGCCCTTAAACATAAAAGGTAAGGCTAAAGCTGTATTGACAAGCCCACGTCAGCAGATTTCACAAACTGCACAAAGATCAGCACAAAGTAGGAAACTTTTCTTGTGACAAGCATTTCTAAACAAATAATGCTGACTCGCAGCCCTGTAGTATTAGCATAAGCCAAAAATACACCCAACATAATAGCTTTATTCCCCATTTAGCCACTCATCCTCTTTCTGTTTGTACTGAAAACATTATGAAATTCATTACTTGGTCAAACGACAAGTCTAATCCTTTTGTTTAGATATTACACAAGTAGTGAAACAGCATGATTAAGCTTTACATTTTCCAATATAATACAGGAAAGATTTCAGACACCACTGATGAATGTCAGTCCTGTTTTACACAATCAGAAACTTTGTCTACAACCATGTGGAAGAAAGAGGACTTCCTAACAGTCCTGCTGATGGAAAAGCTGCAATACATGTTTAGCTCTTTCATGTGGTTTTTTTTGGTATCTTGTGAAACACAAAATTCACAGTAACCACTTGCTCAGAAGCCACACCCAGTTACCAGGCATAAGGTGACCCAGCCTCCAGACACAAATCCATAGCAATCTGGGCTTTATAATTTTAAATGAAGACTGCACTGTGCTTCCTAACAGCAAAAAGGACAAGATAGTTATGTCTCTGAAGGTTCTGCTTTCAACCAGTTCAGAATTTAAAACCGACAAATGAATAATCTCTTTCCTTAAGTAAATCTTTTGGACATGTATCGCAGCCAGAACTTAGCTATGCAAGTCAGCTGTTAGAAGGCACTAAGTGTAGAGAGCCTGGAAAAAGCAGGTCTAGCTTCTATTTTAATTCAGTTGCCAGTAGCTACCCACAACTGAAACAAAAAAAACCCCACATATAGCAGATAACCTTTTGAAAAGGGAGGAAACACGAAGCTGACATCACGCGCACCTGTTAGCTGTTCCAGAAGCAGTACTTCGGGAAGAGGCTGAGGATGGTTTCTGTACAGTTCCTGAGCTTCCAGAAATAGTTAACGGCGACTGCCTGTGAAAACAAAAGCCATGTCAAAAACCCAGTTCTTCACAAAAGAAAAACCTATCTACTTTGCAGCAAAACGTTCTGAATTCAAGCTGTTTACATACTCACATTAAATTCAACTTGGCATATTAAAGTCCACAGGCAGAGCTGTGTAAACCCATCGCTGCTGAAAACCCAGCAACCCCTTCTACAGCTGCAGTGTCAATTTTAGAACATGAGACTTCTTTTGGATAAAGCTCAGCACACCTACCCTCCACACATCAAGAACTCGCTCGAAGCTCGCCTGCCAGCTGCTCCCAATGGCATATCATCTACAGTAAGCAGAAGAACACATTCAACACCCACGTCATGAGACAGAATTTAAAAAAAAAAAAAATCTCCAATATTACTGTTGTAGAAATAATCACTTCTGACAAACTTTTGGGAACATGTAAAAGTTTACCACTAACTGTTTTATGTATGAAAATACCTCAAATGTGACCAAAGACAAAAACGTAACTGGGAAAGGCTGTTCTTTAACAAGTTTTTTTGTTGTTTGCTTTTGTTGGTTTTTTTTGCTATAGTAATTAAAATAATTGTTAAGAGAAAACCATTGTTTAAAAGAACAAGGTATTAGCATTGGGAAATTGATAACACCACATGACAGAAACCCTTCTGAAATAGAGGCACTAATTCAACCAAGGCGTTAACATGATTAACTTGGTGGCACTGTACAGAAATCAGCTGACTAGCTTCCTAGCGGCAACTCGGGTTTGGAAGATGTCACAAAAGGGTCACGAGCTACATCCAAGCCTTTCTACTACATAAGCCCAGTTTGACACCTTACCTTTCACAGTAAACATTTGTTATGTTTTCACCTGCCCTTGTTTATTATCGAAAGCTCTCCAGCATGGTCTGTGAATGTTTCCTTAGCCTGGAACTCACAGTGCGTCTGCCTCCACTAAGAGAATCCTTGGGCTTCTTATCAGCAGTTGTTTACAGCTGATTCCTCTTCTACTGACAAACCCCATTATTTTCCATGGCATTAAATCACCATGGTATCTTTGGCAAATCCGGCTACTCAGCTGAAGGCGAAAACGCCCCAGATGGACACACAGGTAAACCAAACAGTCTCCCCTCACTCTACTGACAAACCCCATTATTTTCTGTGGCTTTAAATCACCACGTTATCTTTGGAAAATCTGGCTACTCAGCTGAAGGCGAAAATGCCCCAGATGGACACGCAGGTAAACCAAACAGTCTCCCCTCAAGGAATAATCAAACTAAAGAAATGAGTTCCAATGTGAATTGAGACACATTTAGAGAAAAGAGAGCCAAATAATAACAGGACATAACAGTATGTTGCAAGTGGAAACTGTTTTAAAGTGTAAAAATAAGGTTCTTACACGAGTGGTCTGAAGAGATATTGTGTGGCACAAGAACAAAGTCATCTGTGTCACAAGAGGAGTTCTTGCTACTGGTACTGGCAGAGTCTTTAGATACTTGAAGATAGTTAGGGGGACCCAATGGAGGGGAAGACAAATTTTCTTCTTGAATATGCTGCATGTCTGGCAGAGACTGGAGGGGGGTGGCAAAAAAGAAAGCAAAAAACCAAGAGTAAATCCAGTGATCCAGAACGTAGAATTGCTCTTTTAACTAGGAAGCTTCTAAAATAGGAATCATCACTAGCTTTGACCCCCCCCAAAAATAAAAAAATCTTGGGCTGCTTTTTGTTTCTTATATGTTTAGAAATACAAAATATAATTGTATTTGGAAAGTTCAAATACTGGATAATCCTACGGTGTCAATTTAGACCATTCTATGTTAAATAGGATATGAATTTAAATAATGGCAATTTATCCAATCATTCCCAAATGACAGAAATGCAGCTCTTCCAAATACGACATACAATTGAAGTCATCAGTTCATATCAGTGTAAGGGGCCTTAGACAAAAAGGCCAATTTAAAAATTATCTGTAACATGCATTACATTGCAAACCATATTAGCATATCTAAAGATCTGCTACTCCAGCATCTGAGTGTATACGTCTTTTTTTTCTGTAACAAAAAAGAACAACAACCCCCCACAAGAAATACAACACACAGAGCAAGAGAGAACCAAAATGTTAATGCCGTTGTTCTAGCAAAAGACAGGGGTATTCCTTACTCTGTGCTCTTAAAAAAAACATCTTACCCTGGACAAGGACTGAAAGATCTAAAATTCAATAATGCTTGGGTAAACATAACAGAAAATATTTTCTAGAGATTGCTCTGTAAAACAGCAAACTTACTGGAGGAGAAGCAAAACGGCACGAAGGAGAGCTACCACAGGAACTGCCAGAGACTGAGCCTGCGTATGTGGGCACCGGTACAGGACAAGCTAGAAGAGGAAAACACAGGGGGGAAAAAAGAAATGGGACTAAGATTTTGAAAGGCTGGATTTCAAACAAACTCATTTCCTCACTGCTTTTCATTCATAAACCCGAATACATGTTATAAGCACAGCACATCCTTAAACAGACAAGGGTATTTAAGTTCAGTTGAAATGCCAAAGGAACTAGTAAATAAGTATCAAATTTCAGTCTAGCATAATACAAAAAAGGATTCACTACTCAGCTTCTCAATAGAGCACAAGTCAGACTTGGGGAAATGCCTCATAAACTCGTAGTGTGATATTTGGCAGATCCTTCTCCGTTACAGCCCCCAACATTTGTCACTTACACCAATAAGTGGAAAACCAAAACGACTTACACTTTTTGACTGTTGAAATCTGGTCCAGGAAAGGGTGGTTGAAAAATGCTTCTGTAGAACAAGAAACAACCACCACGGTGAGTAAACGTACCAATGACATGGAATTTAGACTACACTGCAGAGGGTGATAAATGGTTGCCTTCCCAGAATCAATATTTCATAGCCAGAGGGCGAAGAGCTTATAAAAGATTAAAGCCTTCTATGTTATATGTTGCTATAGCGTTTGGAAAGGAAGCAAAAAAATCAATTGAGTAACTTCAAACAACAGCCAGCAAGGCAAATCGGACCGAATCACTGGAGGACATTTTATGACTGCACTTAAGGATCACGTACACAAGAAGCCTCCCTACACTCATCACGGAATGATGTTATGTGCAGTGTGATACTAACTCAGTTTTAATTTACTCTTCAAAACGCTGAGCATCTCTACCACCAAACACAAAGTATTTTCACTCCTGTCTTTCCCAAGGACTGATCCTTATTTTTCAACCTATTAATGCTACTCCTCAGGTGGTCAAATATCACAACACAGAGCAGCAGCCATTCACCTACCCACTTCCCAACAGCAGAACGCGACCTGTGCAGCCGGTTTACAGTTTAAAGCACAATTAAACACGATTTCTTTAACAATTTCCTCGATTAACCTGTTACTGCTACAATAGGAACATTTTCCTTTTGCCGTAAATGGGTAAGCCGAGGTGCATTTAACTGACAGCAGAACCACTTGGCTAGCAGTTTACATAGAAAGTTTTATTCTACAAGAAGCTAATTAGGAGAAATGGAGGGTTGGTAGAAGCCAGCTGCTGAGCTTTGTGAACTTAAATGTTCTACTAGTTGAGGAAAAACAATGCTGTTCATCAGACCTAAGCAAATAACAAGGAAAAAAACCATAAAAGAATCTGAGGCCTGCAGTATCTCCTCTTCCTTCAACACTTTCCTCCACCACCCGATAAGGAAGGGAGGCTAGCTGTAACACAGGAACAAGGTAATCATTAACTCTAACACGAGGATCAGGTGTTCTTGAGCTTTTGTACAACACCTGCTGTTCTACTTTATATTGCTGGAAGATCAACAAAATCCCCAGTGCTATTTTTACTTTAACAACAGGCCACTGGGCTCAGTTATACACTCTCCCTTTCACTCCCTTTGCTAAGCACATTCCAGAGCAGCCCCTGTGAGGCCCTTTAAGTGGCTCAGCCAAGGAAAACACGACTTTCATCACTCCTATTCTGCTTTCTATTTTTCTTTCTAAGCACAAATGCATTCTCCCACTCCCACAAACAATACAGTCGATTTCCCATCTTTGAAGAAACTGTAGGGATCAGCACAGCCAGAGTGTAAAGTGGAATCAATTACCCAAAGTCCATGTTTATTATGTATTAATTCTTCTAGACATACAGATTTATAACTGACCTTTGAATAATGTCACTATCATTTGGGATATCTTACCCAATTATGATGATACTTGCTGTATCTGACTTCTGCTTAAGCTTTTACGTACAGCAGTTAAAGCAAGTTTATTCAGTTACATCTACACACAAAAATCCATGCCTGGTTCTCAGAAGAACACAACACTTCAGTTATGCCAGAACTGATGGATGTTTTAAATTCAAAATTATTTTTAAAAGTTTCATGTTTCTTGGAGCAAAACATAGCAGGAATTGAAAAGGAAAAAAAAAATTACAGACAAGAGAGTCTTGAGCTTCAAGGAACTAAAACGCCTTTTGATTCCTCCATTCTCCACAGCCTAACAAACAGAGTCTTATCACAAACACACAAGGACCACATGTGATGAATGAGTCAATCTGTGTTTTTCACTGCTGCACCAAACCCAAGCTTGCACGCCTAACTGAAGGGCGACAGTGAAGCTTCATAAGCAGAAACAAAACCTGAGCACGTCCAACTTCTGGTTGGAACTCGCCATAGGAACTCAGTGTCACAAGAACAAATAGCTATGGTAAGGGAAGAACTAGGTCTTAGCTACAAAAAGCTTGAAGAAACTTTAAGGTTTAGGCTGGCTCTTGCCATTCCATAGTTTCAACTTAATGGGGTTTCCTGCTGCTAAAACAAATCTCAGTATAAAGCACATTGCTATGGTTATAAAATAAATACCATAAGTTTTTTCATTATTATTATCTAAGTTAAAGTAACTAAAAGCTTAACATTTCCTAGCAGCTATGATAAAACTGCAATAACAAATAGTGCTATACAACAAACAACCAGCATGAATAACATGACAGAAAGGATGTAGCTAAGAAGATCTGAACAAGATTTCACTTTATAGTTGTTGTTTTTTAAATATGTTGCCCCCCCTGAGTCTGCACTAAAAAAAAAGAATAAAAAGCATTACTACTTTTGCAGCACTACGTATCTAAAAACCCAGCAATAAAAAGGGTTTTCAGACTGAAGTGACAGCCAATCTGGCCAGTACAAGGCACACACAAATCTGAACTCTGCTCCTGACTAATTTTGTAGAGGCAACAGTTTCAGCCATTCTGCACAATTCAATAGTGCCGACTCGAGTCCCTGAAATCTTAAGAATTTAGAACAATGTTCTGCAACCAGAGATCTGCATCTAAAGAGAAAAAGCCAAACACAGCAGTAAACTGGAGCCAAACTTGTTCACTTTTGTTAAGGGGGTATACACCTACTCTGTACTAGCCTTAACTTCCCAACTAATTCAAATGCAGTTAAAATTCTAGGACTTATAAAAATACTATGACACAACAGTTATTTCTACTACTTCTTGCCTCAAAAAAAACCTCCAGTGAAAATATTACTCTGACATAAAGTGTCAACAGCTAGCAACACCTAAGTGCAGTCCTAGGAATTCATCTTTGCAAATATAAACAATTTTGATGTAACATCACATGTCTCATTGCCCTCAGACAGATACAGCTTTCAAGGTCAAATCAAATACTGACAACGTGTACTCTCCATTAATACACTCCTGGCATTTGCAGTTTGCAAGAGAAAGTAACAGGGAGAAAACATTTAAAGCAACTTCGCTTCCAAAGTGGGTTCTTCAGTACTTGTTACACTTCTGCAGCAAACACCACACGGAGATCAGAGATGCCTGCTCCCAGGCTGAAGCCCAAACAACAGTATAAGTAACAGAAACATGACTTGACGTAAAATTTAAGGGATATCAATTAACACTGTAGGCGAAAAAATAGGCCATGATTGAGGGAAGTAAACTAATTCGTATTTCATCACCCAACCACAAAGTCATAATCCACACACATCACTTAGCACTGACTGACAGTAGTTACCTAATGATTTATTTTGGCTAGCCTGCCTCTTAGGAGAGCTGAGAAGGAAAAAAAAAACCCCTCACTTTACATGTAATCGGCTGTAAAAAGGTCAAGACAATTATTCTGGCCACATGAAGAGAAGAAGAAGGAAAGTCAAGGCAGCAAAAGGAGAAGTTACATACCAAAGTCCATTCTATCTTTCTGGTTCCTCTGAAGCAAACCCAGCAGCAGGTCAGCCAGGTAAGCTGATGTTTCCCTAGGAATACTGCACACAAGAAGGAAAACATGCATTAGATTTCATGTATGCATGAAATAAAATGCGTAACGCATTAAATTTCAGGAAGGCGGCGTTCTGCCACATCCCTAAGACCTCGCTATACAGCGCTACAGCCTTAGTACACAGACGTTCAACTCAGCCAGGTACAATGAAGGCGACGTGAGTCACCAGTATCATACCACACCCTCCTCAAGATAGCAACATCAAGTATTTTTACGAATCCCAGGCATTCCCAAAGATGAAAACGTGTTCAATCAACAAATGTAAGTGACAGGAAAGGCCACGGTGACATACCTAGGAATCAAATTCCTGTTCTTTTCATAAAACATTCTCAAATCTTGAGGACTATTGGCCTGTCAAATAAAAATGTACATTAATTAAAGCTCAGTTCCATGGAGAAAATAGCTTCTGTACCTATGCACACATACACAAAAAGGAGGTTTTTGCATATGGGCATTAAAGGAGAAAACCCCAAGGACAGCCGTGACTTCAGTACTGCGTATCCTTACACATTTTCCCTGGATTGAACACACTGATAGCAAGACTAAGTACGAGCAACTTCTCCCTTGGTATCCTCAAGTGATCTGGCCTTCGAATCATCGACACTACACTCAGACATCACTACTTACTTCTGTTTTCATGGCTGGAAGGAAAAGCCCTAGGAACTTTCATGAGACTAAAAAGAGGGAAAAGGAAATGAAATGTTACCTGAAAAGGTGGTTTTCCAACAAGACACTGATAAATCACAGTTCCTATGCTCCACAGGTCTGCTTTAGCATCATAGTGTTGAGACATAATCACTTCAGGGGCCTGGGAAGAACAGCAGAATCTCAGAAGGGAAAACAAAAAAGCAAACCCACAGCAGTCTGGATTCTACAGTTCTTCTGTCAGAGCAGTATTAACAGAGCCACACTATTCTAAGACAAAATTAACATTTTAATCTGCATCATATGACTTGAAAGGTAGCAGTTCCATCTACAATGAAAGCTACATTTCAAAACCACAGAAAACTAGAAATGCTGATGTTCTGAAGAAAGCATCTAACCATCAGCACGGATGGGAATAAGAGCGTTATTTACGGGTTTAGGCAGTCCTCCTGGCGGATAAACAGCCAAGCATTTCGTAAGGAATAGCATTATCCCCATTTTACATATATAAAAACAAGCAAGGGAAAGCAAAAATGATCTTCCCATGAGCATACAGTACAGTACTGGCAGTGCCAAAGTCAAACAGTTCACTGTTCCATTGACTACCACACTAATTAGTAAAAATAATGGCAATTAACTCCAGATTGTTTTGATTTTTTTTAAAAGAACAAAACAAACACCACATGTGAGAGAATCCATTAAATAACTAAAATAAAAACATCAAGGGTTTTTTTTAGTGTAAAGCTCTTCTAGCCTGTATTTGATCACTTTTTATTTACTTAGGAACTGGGAAGGAGATAATGCCCTATTTCAAGGGAAAAACCCATGCTGTGTAAGTGGGAATGATACTACTTTGCCAAAATACTAATGCCAAGATGTACTGCCTTTTGTTTCTCAAAGATTTTTACTCCTTAAACTGCTAAGAAACGTTCAATGTCTCTCCGATTTTAGCAGCTGTGATCTCCACATCCCAAGACAAGAAGGGAGCTAGTAAAGCTATGGAAAGGTGAACTGCATCCTTCATTTCTGAGACAACGTGAGCACCTGCCAATCTGCAAGCAGCACGTTATTTTGTTCTGGTAGGGTAATGTTTGAGATAAGGACTATAATCTGAGATACACTGTCACTTACCATATACATAGGGGAGCCACACAGAGTTGCAGCCATCATGTTGCTATGCAGGTAACGAGCAAAACCAAAGTCAGCTATGTAAAGAAACACAGTTGTCAATGAAAAGAAAGATAATTTTCAATTTTTTTTCAAGTCTAGAAATTATCTGTCTCATTGAAATCTGCTACAATTCCCAGTTAAGAGAGGAAAAGACAGGTATAACATACAGCCAATCACACGAAAAAGTAAATTCTACGCTATGCGGAAAGAATCAGGTATTATCTTCCAAATAACAAGCCAAGAAACAGCAGTGGCATCATTTGCACGAACTGCTGCTCAGCCATCTCCCCAGCTGCAGAACATGCTGTCTGGCGTCAAAGGCAGTGGCTAAATATAAATGGTTCATTAAGAGTGATGAATATACATCTGCTTCAGTGAAATCACATCAGGTAGAAGTTTATGAAGTCAAGTTTCAGATGCATGAATTTTCCACATAGGCAAAAGCATCTGAAACGATCAAGTAAGGACAGCGAGAGAAGTTTTGTCTCCTCTGTGCTGTTTAGAAGATGGAGTGAGTTGGAACCGATCTCAGATTTTGGCTGAGCAAAAGCATAGAAAAGAAGCTTGTTAAAACCAAGGTATTTTTAAATGGACATTTAACAGACGACGAGAGATTAAAACTCCTGAAGTGTCCTCTGAAGAGGAGTTTTGTAGTGTCATGAACAGCTGACATCTCTCCCCAGATACAATGCCAAACCTCCATCTGCCAAAAATAGGTCATAACCTAAATTTCTAAACTTCCCAAATAACCCTGAGGATGGGCTACCACACACCCCCCCACACCATCTGGAACTGCAACTGCAGTCTCGCATGCATGGTTTTAAAATGGGCTAAAGGCTACTCGAACTTTCAAAGGTTAGAGATTTGTGTCTGATTAAAATAGTCGAATACCAGAAACATAAGTTAAATAAGTTCCTTCTTCCTGCAGATTTAATCATAAAGGTCTTTATGCCTCAATCTTTTTTATACTGAGAACCTGCATTACAGCATAAAGCTCATTGTTCTATACTTACTGTCTGGTTTGCATCAATTTAACGAACACCATATCCAGTACACCCTCTGCACTTGAACTACAAAAAGACACTTCTGCGTAGGGAAACAATCCAACAGTGATGATTTACCTTCACACCAGAGAAAAAGTGTATTTACCTATTTTGATGCGTATGCCAGTGACACTTGACTTCCTACGACTGGCGTAGCTCAACAAAATATTCTGTGGTTTAAGGTCCCTATGAATGATTCCTTTACTGTGCAGAATACGCATAGCTGCTGCAATCTGCTGGAGGAACACTCGGATGGTATCTTCACTAAGAGTTCCTTTAGCTGGAATTAACAGACATGTAAGCAGATAAGAAAATAATCATCATCATCTTTGGGCAAAAAGCAGTATTCTTTACAGTGATCAACTGAAAACAAGACAAATCATAGTGAGTCACATTCAGAATAATCCAATTTCCAGCATTTTTCTACAAATCCATATACTCAACGACACACACTTTTACACTAGCTACAATACTCTGAATTATCCGTTTTTACAGTAGTTGATTCAACTTGGTTGGTAGCATAAATGCAAAACTCCTCAATCACCATTAAATCCTAAACTTGCTAGAAAGGTAAAGGACCCAAGGAAATGACTTTCAGAACATTGAACATATCTATAATCATGGTACAGCCTGAAGCCATAAAACCTGTTTGTATTATGGGGATGCAGATAACCACTCTGCTCAAAAACTTCATCCATGCTAAAAGTTATTTTGAAGGGAAAAAATAAGAGGTACTTTTGAAAGTCTCTTCAGAAGGTATTATCTCATTCTGCAGTCTGAAAAAGCGGGAGCTGGATTATACTGCATGAGTCTTTCCAAGGATTTTAATGGGAAGTGAATTAGGCTTTTAATATGCACAGTTACCATAACAATAGCTGTTCACAAAAAGATTCCTTCAACACAGTGAGAAACAAAGGCAAGCAGGAGAATATTTTCATCAAGAAAAACATGAAGATTAACATCTCTGCTCAAAATCATGTTTGCAGTAAGAATCCGTTTGTCATGATTCTGTAACTTCTATCTTCACTTGGGGCAGAGCCATGTCGAAGGGTAAAATCTCTCCCAGGCCAGAACTGTCTCCTTATAGAAAGCATTATTGTATAGGGAATTCAGCACTTTTGAACCCACGTTTTGGAAAAGAAAGCAGGTGGAATCAAAAACACTAGGAGCAGCCCCCTAAATACAGCATTAGAAATAGAAACCCACACATTTCTCAGCGTGCTACTTATGGTGAGCTACATCTTCTCCCTCATTTACTAATAAGGGAATGTTACATTCATTTGTTTTGAAAGTAACAGCCACGAGCATTTTCTGTCTGTGCATTGTCTTATTCACCATCACTGCTACTCTGTGAAGGTTTTATTTTCAAATTTGAATGACTTTTTAAAACACTGGGAAATATTTTTTAAACAAATGCAAAACCTTATGTCTTCCCGCAGCTTCAAAATACTGTTTTCAAGTTCCCAGGGTGGCAGACAAACACACAAACACCACTCTGCTGCTGACCTTAAGTGGAGACAGAATACAACGCTAAACGGATTCTTGGTAAATTCAACTGCTTTTATATAGAGGGCACTCAAACATCACACCAGGGTGAACATGCATTATGGAATTGCAGATATTCCATGAACAGAAAAATATTTAAACCACGACAAAGAAAAAAATCTCAGAGAAACACCGACGCATTACAAGAATACAGAATATAAACATGCAATGCAATAGCTTCTTCATAGGGAAATACAGTCATCAGTTACCTTGTAAGTAATCGGCCAAATCCCCACCATTGCAATACTGTTAAAAAGAAAGGGTTTCAGTCAAAACACAAGCACTCAAATACTGCTATATAATTCTTACTTTGTAATTTTTTCATGAAAATGAGAAGATGCTTTCAAGCTGTTTGCCTTCATCAATACTTACAGCATCATAAAATGAACTGGATAAAGTTATGGAACAAGCACTGCGGATAAATTTAGTAGTGCACAGCAAATTAATAATCTAATTTTTAGAATTGCTTGCTTTAACAATTCATGGTTATTTTGCAGCTGTGCAAAGAAGTATTTTTGTCTAAAAATCATCTTTAAAATCAGCCAGAAACAAACATATATGTTCACACATACCTCCATTACCAAGAAGACAGAATTGGGCATTTCCTGAGAGAGAAGGAGAACAAATCCCATTTATGAATGTGACAAGACAAAGCCTTCAATACCTGCACTAACCAAGTGTAAGGTGAGATTTTTTTCCATCAGCTGATATACCTTATGTTAAAGTCACTGTTTTAGAGGATACAAATATGTGCATTCCCCACCATTAAATATTTCGCATTTTCATATGCATTAGTATACGCAAAGAAAAGTCTCCAGACAATATCCTGAAAACTTATCACCTGAAAGAGCATCATACAGCAAGAAACATCAGTTTCCACTTCAACTGTCTTGGACTGGTCTATCAACACCACCTCTACATTAAGGGCCCTTACAAATAAATACATTTTTGCTATCAGACATCACTAAAATCAGTCACTAACAGGACAGTAATATTTAGGTGCGGATATACCGTGCAGAATTAAAAACTGTAAGACAACTGGCTATGGCAAGCAGTTTTAAGGAGGAATTCCAAGTGTACCCTGCTTTGGGGTAAAACAAGCTTTGGTTCTGCCATCTGACAAGCTGAAGGTCAGTCAGAAATCACAGAGCAGTTACCTGTCTGGAATAAACCAATTCCCAAATGCTATTCTGCAGGATAATTAACTCAGGAATCGCGCGTACTTCTGTAAACTATCTCCCTCAGTGGTCTCTGGCAGAAGCATGTCCCTGCCACAGAGCTCAAAGCCTTATGGCAAAGGTGTGATTCGGTATGGCAGCCCTAGCAAGATTTTCCAAAGCACTGACCTCCTCTGACCTATCTGCAAACTGAATTCCCTCTTGTAACTGGGTGAAAGGTACTGAACGACAGATTAGATAACTTCTACTGTAAATTATCTACACACTCCACAAAAATGCAATAAAAATGCCTGGGCTTAAAGCCGATTGTAACAAGAACATTCACCCCTTTTCCAAATATTTATTTTGTGGGGGAAGAGAGAGCCTACCTGTCTATGCCAATCATCAACAGTTTTCCACAAAGTCCCCTGCATAAAACAGTGTTGCTGTGCCTACAAAGCTGAAGACACTTGGAGATCTTTTATATAGTAAAAGCCTTTTTTCCCCTCTGAGCTGCCTGAGTAAAACGAAAGGAAAGAACACAAAGAGCACTAGAGGGAAACATAAGGCAAGGGTTCAATAACCAGCAGGATGGTTTTAGTTATATAGTATGTTATCCCTTTCACTTGAAAAATACAGCAAAGGTTGACAGTTTGTGGGAAAATGTGTTTTTAAGGCCGCTGAAGGGAAGAGCGAGATGGCAGGGCACACAAGGGCAGCTACGCCCCAGCTGAAGTGGAACTGTAGACAGTCTGACTCAGTTCTGCTAACGGGCGTCACAAAAAAGTCCGAAGGGACATTACAGGGCAAAACAAGAGCTGTGAACTTCACCACCTTTCTCAGCACTTGTATTCAGACCTCAGCACATGCTCGATCTGACCATACTGGCAAGAACTACCACAAAAGTGTCATTTCAGGTCAGGCCAGGAAGCTTTAAAAAGAAAAATAAAAGCAAAAATGGGCCCATGGGCCCAGGCCAGGGAAACCAACTGCCCTAAATATCAAACACAGCACAGAGCACATGGATGGTACAACCCACTGAAGCCCATTTCTACCAATTCACCACAGACACTGATATCACTACAGGTAACTGCAGGAAGTATGCTCCAAGATGAACTGGACGTTTTAAGGTTAATGCCAGACTGTATTAGGCTGCTTCACTTTCTGGAAGCATTTAGCTTACCCACCCTGCCCTGTGTTACAGAAATGCATTTGAGGCTCTTTCCATCTCAGAACACCAAGCACATTTCAAATTTGTTTACATTTGGAAATTAGCTTCAAAGAAAGCAAGTTTCTAGGAACATCAGTCAAATCTGTTGGGAATGAAAGGCAAACTCCAAGCAATACAGATTATTAAAAGCAGCAGTAGATCACATTTCAGGAAGTCCCAGTTGTTCAGTGTTTCTGTAACAGCTGTGGCCAACATGGACCATAATTTGCAATCCTATAAACGCCTCAAAACCTAAGTGCATACATTAAAGCAAAGAAAGATAAGTAATTACTTGCTCTGTCAAGTACCGAAAATACATAATGATAAATGTTGTTTCTTTCTGCACCTTCCAAGACCCAAATGCACCTTCATTCAGGAACCCTCAAGGATGCCAAAACTACAACTCTGAGATCCCAATTTACCAAACTGAAAATTCAGCCAGCTGAGGATTCACTTCGCTTACAGGACAGCTGTGATGTGCAAAATAATAACACAGCTAAGCAGCATGGAAACTGTCCGTTCTCCAGTGACAAGAAAGGAGCTCAGCTAGTGGATTTCCACCCCAACATAGCAATCCCATGAATCAGAAATAGATGTTCCACAGCGTCAGCGCCTCCACTACACAACGCACTCTGTACAAGCCCAGCAGCTTATGGCAGTATGTAATGCTCAGCTCATGACAGACATTTATTCATCACACAACTAAGAGAATGTGTTTTCTGCATGCCCTTGGAAACAAAGTCCTTTCAAATGAAACTGTACTCTTCAGAAACACAGAGCTGATGGTCTGCCCTGTTGTACTAGCCCTCACCTGTTGAAAGAAAGCCATTCCTATGACTGCACCAGATTCCCCTCAAATAGCACTACTCATCTTCTTTTGACTGATAGTCTTGGTTAAACATAATCGAACAAATCACTGGGTTAAAATCATAGCAAGAAGTTCAGTGTGTTTCCTTACTGCAGCTTGGATAATCCTTTTTTATTAAATCAGCAGAGCAGATTACAAGTTTCACAAAGAGATTTTCCCAGACTGGTCAGAAGTCCTATCTAATCCGTACTGCAAAAGTAATATTCTGCACAGAACTGGTATCAAGCTCCCCGGCTGCATCTCATCCCAACTTTAACTCACAACCAAACACTTCTAAATATCCCACCAAGACAAGCTTTAGCGCAAAACAGCTGAAGTTGTTCATCCCTTCACAGTTGCTCAAATTTTGCATTACAGCTCCTGGCCAGCCTGACTGGGAATGTGATCTCCGTTTTGGGAATACACTCAGAAAACACAAGTCAAATCCGTAGACATTTTTCCCCCTTCTAAATTATTTTGCTGAAAAATAAAACTATCCCTATCATCGTTCCCTAGACTTGTGATCTCTGTTGACTTGCTGAGCAAAGCGCTCAAAAATGAAAAGATTAGTAAACCAGCATGTTTCAGAGCTAACATTCAGGAATAAAGCTGACCTAGCAAGCTATTTTAAACTGCTTCTTGAAACAGATAACAGAGCTTTCAAAAATGTACGTTGATCTACAGATCATAAAATTACTGCAGCTGGGGTTGTTCTGCCCTACACCTCTACCTAGAAAAGTAATCAAACAAAACAAATGTATGTTGTGTTGCAACAGTTACGGAACAGTTTTGCCCAACCTGCCTTGCTTGGGTGCTTGAAGTTTTCTTGACAAAAACCTACTTTTACTCCGTATTATTAGTCTAGGTTTTACTTGCAAGTTTAAGTAAAAGATAGCAAAGGTTAATAGGAAACCATTTTACAATTCTGAAAGCTAACAGTTAAACCTAATAAAAGAGATTAAGAGGCAACGTATTTGCCAAAACTCGCTGTGTTTTAATCCCAGACTTCCAAGAGTTGTCTCAGGGGATGTGAAGTTCCAACCCAAATCACTGGCTCAGCGCAGTAGTTCCATTTAAAAGACATTAATTGAAAAAGAAGTCAAAACATCCATGGTTACTTCTGACAGCTGTTGCTAGAACTCCAGCATATTGGCAGAAACACACCCTAGATTCCTTTCTGTTAGGAAGTGCTCCTTTAGAACAAGCTGAAGGTTTGGAAGGAGCTGCCAGAGCAGAAACTGTGGCAAATACATAGTTACTATGTTTTTGCTCCAAGTCTGCAGATACTGTTTAGCTGCAGTTTATGGTCGGAATCCCAAGAACATGAGAGTTCACAGCTTACACACTGCTATTATCTGATAATTTTTTTGATATGTTAATTTGTGCTATATCTGCTTTAATTTTTTTGGCCAAGAATACTTTTTTTTTGGGAGTGTTAAATACATTTGGCAAAAGTTCTAATGATTTAGTGAAAAAAGACTGGTCCAGATCTTTTTAAGGCTGTTTCCCACTGTATTACAGATACTCTCATTTTGCTTTTTGCTTTGTGAATTCACCACAGCACCAGCTTCTAACATGTTCAGCTCCTATCATGTCTGAAGGACTGAACATTTTGTTAGTTCTGACTAAATGTTAAGTCTCAGACTAAATGTCACTTGACTTGTGCCTGTAGGATTCAAATAGCGTGCACGCTGCCAATTATTCACATAAAAGAGCAATCAGCCACGGAGAAATGCACCACAGCAGGCGTATCGCTCTGTGATGTGAAATGCTGTACTTAACTGATACATATGGGAGGCAGTGAGAGAGGCTGGGGCACAACACAAAGGAAAGGCAACACTGTTCACAACACACCAAATACCTAACACGCTCGCATACTAGAAGATCTTCTGAAATAGTTTTGAAATACAAATTACAGCATCTAGGCACGGCAGGTAAGCTAAGGACTGTGTAGTAACACCAACTGTTTGGTTCTGTGGGCCAAAACAAACTCTAGCTGGTTCTCCCTAACCTTCAGCACCTACACGGACGTCATTCCTTGCAGTCCAACATTGTCGCAGCCAACCTCCCAGCTGGCATCAGCTGCCAGGTAGTATTTCAAAACCTTTACAGTTTCTGCAGGGCAGGGTTTTGCTTTTTATTGGAGAACTTGTCTGAACGGCATGTTTTCATATGCCTGTTTCCACACACTGTAAAGGATGGATACGGACAAACACAAAGGTCTTGATCAGGGAGCTGAGGGAAAAACTAATGCTACTGAGACATCCTCATTCAGAAGAGGGCAGTTCAGAAACGGCAGCACTGAGCATACAGAGGTAAAGCTGTGAGCACACACCAGAATGCTCAGAGCAAATGCCTCAAGAAACATGCAATAACTACCAGACCAACTGGAGTCCTCAGGTAAATCCATCAGCAATATTTAATTCCAACTGGTAAAGCAACAGGTACAGGGAAATATGGCTCCTTCCATAAGTATCCCTAGTAAGAACCATGGGTGCTCGTGTTGAAGTAAAGGCTGTAAGTACCAGAAGGACCACTGGCTTTGTTCCCACCAGCTTTCGCTGCTCTCAAGGACAGCGGAAGCAGCTGCAGTTATTCTGTCTGCTACGTACCAATGAGCTAAGACAAGAAACAATTTCTGTCCAGATACCGTTTCTCCAATAACACACTAGAAATTAGTTCTCCCTAACCTACTGTTCAAATAGCAAACTTCAGGCTCCATACAGCAAAGACATTAATTCATTCTTCTAAAATGCTATCTCCAAGATGCACTACAGGCTTTCATTCTGACGGCTGACATTCTGAAGAGGGTTTGAATTAAATTATTTGCTAAAACAGGCACTGTCTGGCACTGTGTAAGAGATTAGTTCTACTCAGCACACACTTGGGATCATGAACTGCACAAAACTGTAAATTCATGTCCTAAATATAGCACATTCCAAATAACTTACAGATACCTTCATACTTCAGTAGAATATTTTACCCCAGGTCCTCGATGTGCTCTGTGCTGGTGAGTTAGAGGTTATTTTAGACTCTTTTTAGCGGGCTCCATTTCCCCAATTAACAGGACTCAAGATTAATCTTCTTTTGCCGGATGAACAACACCCCACAGCACCACCACGGGAAAAGAACTGCCGCCTTATGCCATTTTAGAGATTCAAGAGTTTTTTTTTATTCTTGAATGAAAATTGCCCAAGCAGATCAGCAAAAATGTCTCAACAGGTTCCATCTTGTTATCCATCTATTATACTCAGGGGTTTTTTATTAAGCATTTCACTTAATGAAAAAATTAATTTCACATTTAGAGGTTTCAGAGCCCTATTACTGCAAAACATTTGCCTCTCGGAGATGAAGAGTTCATGTTTAAGCATCTCCTCAAACACTTTCCATCTTAGAACCACTGTCCCTGCTCCCTGGTGCGGGCAGATCCCCGGCCTTCTGAGACGGCACCACCGCCACCGATACGCTCTGCTTACATAAAATGCTTAACTGCAGATCAAACCTGCCAGTGTTCCATGTAACCACCTTACAGAAATCAAGGGCAATTATCGTGCTGGCACCAGAACAAAAGATTCTCTCTCTGACCAATGCACACACGGCATTAACGGCACAGCAATTCATTCGGGTGTGTCTCCAGATGAATGGGCATTTCTAGTAATCCAACTTAGTGGACCCACTACTAAGTAACATATCAATCTCAGAAGACGGAAGCAACAGCAGCGTAGGTAGATGTTCCCAGACTATCAGTACAATGTCTCACAAGTTCTCCTTGGATCTAATTAAAACCCTGATAGCGTACGTATCTTTATTACACTGACTTGTGCGACTGGTCACACAGACCATGCAACAGGAGCGTAACCATAAATGAACAGAGATGAAAGGGAAGGAAGGAATCTACCTCCTGTGCAAACAATTCCCAATGAAACCTTTTGCAATATGTAAAATAATAACTACCCTTTCATTCTCAAACTTAAAAGATACATTCCAAATTGCTATGCAGCAATACAGCTTTAATCTCCAAGTACTGCCATTAAGTACAGATAATTTCATTTAATATTATGAGATGTAAAAATATTTATTCTTAACTGCTATTCATTTACACTTTTTTTCCCACTTAGTTTTGCCACTCACATTGCACACCATCACATCTACCTGAAAATTCGGTACAACAGTAAATTCTGGGGTTATTCAGCTAAACGGTCTGCCAAACAGCACGTCTGAAACATGAGCCTTTTCTTATTTCAAACTGTCTGAGGTTAAGAAAAACTTCAGACCACCAGAACCATAAAAATAAAACAGACTCCCAGTCCCATTGAGAACTTCCTACTGTGACACAGACTCCACTGGCTCCAGCACTGAGGGAAAAAACCCACCAGCTCCTGTAACTTAAAAATTGCTTGAAATCCTAAAGTCTTATCTGCTGTACCATATCACTCTGTTCACAATACTGTGGCAAACAAAAAGGGAGGTACACGCTACAACATGAAATGCTCAAGAAAATTAGTAGGTGTAACAGCCTACGAGACATGTGAATGCCTTGCATAGTGTTCGTTCTTGCTGGGTTATAAATTAATGTAATCATACAAGCTAATGATGTATAATATTTCAGAAACACAGCCCTGTGCAGAAAGGGAAAAGCTTATTTGTGCAAGTGTCGCATTCTTTAGACCCTATTTTGCAAAGCAATTTCTTGTGTAGAAGTAGGTTCATACTGCCAAGCTTTATGTTGGCCATGAATGCATTTGAAATACATCCAAGGTATGAGACAGGTTTTCCCTTCTCTTTGCTTTAACTGTTCGTATTATTTAAATCCAATAGTCAAGGACAAGCAGGAACACCTCCTTATCAAATGGAGAATACACACTCTAAGGGCACCCTTCCCTATGGCAGAAAAGCATAAAATCTTGTTTTAAAATAACCTTAAGGTAAAGAAACCATAGGCAAATGTACAGCTCTGTCCTCTCTTCCCTTGCTGATGTTCCGTGCTCAAATTAGAAGGACCAAGAGCCTCTCCAAAGCGTAGAAGACACGCAATGTTATCATCAAAATACATATATAGTAACTACCCTCAGGTTGAGCTGCAAAGCTTAGTAAGTAATCTTCACACAAAAACAACTGTAAATGATAAATCTGAAATTCAGCTGCTAACTCACACACCAACGCCCTCAGTCAACAATTCCAGTTTTCTTTTAAGATGTCTGGGCATACTAAATTTAGGATGCTGAGATATTATTTCCACTTAGCAATCCTCAGGAAAGCCAGGTCTCTTCAAGAAGCACAAGAAACTATACTTTCCCCTCTCAGAGCAGCTAACGTCATTCAAACCACAGCGTTCGGAAGGAGGAAAAACAGAGTCTGTACATCCAAATGGGAAGTTGGGACATGCAGTCTGTTACACCATGAACACCATCGCCTTGTACCAAGAGGCAACAGACGTTAGCCAATGTCCCGTAGCGCTACACACAACAAAACCCGAGCCTGCCTAGCAAATACTCTACAAACCGAGATTTCTACAGCTACACAGACACACGTGTACACTGAAAACCTTTTAGGATGCAAATGCGTAAAGACAGAACATGCTGAAGAACGTCAAAACATCTATTTTACATTGTTTTAACGATGCAGTGCCCCAAGGGCGGTTCTTAGAGTTTTTTATAAATGTAACTCTGGATTTAAGATTAGAATTGAGCCCAGGAGATAAATGTATACTTCTTATTCAAGCAGAACAATTGGCTGCATAACCTACATCACGTCATATTTAGCTTAACTCAACATTTGCAGGCCTTAGGATACAAAAAATGTATTTCATGCTAAGTAGAATACACTACTCTGGATATGCTAGAAAACTAATTCCTCCACCTTATCAGGCAGAATCCTGGGAATAAAAAGAGGAAGACAATTTGAAGCAATTTAATACTTATTTCTCCTACTTGAGAATACAGAAATGGCTGCTTGGCTTTTATACTTGATTCTACCCTCTGGAACACAGGCAACAGCAATATATACATGCGTAATCACAGTCTTCTACTTCCTTCAGTTCTTTCTCACCGTGACACAGGGCTACACAATACATTTCTTTGTTACAGAGATTTCAAAGATGCTGCTCCTTTTCTACACCAGAGTATTTTAAGTTCTGTTGACTTCTTAATGTCACTTGCTTCATCCATTCAGATCAACTCCCACTAGTACATTTCCCTTCAGGTGTATTCAGCTGTTATCCACAAACACCCACTTTCCAAATCAATTACAGGGTCAAGGAAACAAGGCTGATTTCAGAGGAATAGTTACTGCCACCAACAGAGCTCCCAGCCCACCCAGATGATGCTTTTTCTCTGGAGACAGGACCAAACTACACCAACAGCCACTTGCCCCTGCTGCCTGGAAGTAAACCGTATTTCTGTCTGTTTTCCACCCCAGCTGCGCATCCTGCTTCTTAGAAAGGGCCGATACAAAGTAAGCGCGTAGCGTGTTGAAGATGAGAGAACACCCCAGCCACTGCTAGGGAACTGGCTTTCCTTTTCTAAATACCAAACTGATTATAGCAACAAAACATACGGCCATTCAAAACTGTCTACTCAGCATACACGTATATGCATTATATTTCATAAATAAATTTTAATGAAGAAAAAAGCATCAAAATATATTTTACCTGGACATCATAGAGAGCTACGATGTTCTCGTGCTGAAGTTCCTGTAAAACAAAGTACCTGTATTATGGAAATAGCCTATTATTGAATTTAGTATGCTAGGTGATAATCAAAGAAAACCCAATTTTACAAAGAGAGGATAGCATCTTTTTCAGACCATCTGATGGAATTTGGAGGAAATCCCAGCTATTTAGACAATATGTACAGGAATAGGAAATTAGGCAGTATCGCCAGAGGCCGTAAAAACACTTGGTTTGAGAACTTACTTTCTACATCTTGTTACAGAAAGTATTACAGCACAAAATCCTTTAATGAGTACTAAAAACTGACTAAATCTAATTTTGTAGTCTCGCACAGTTTCTTGCTCGGCGGTAACCAACTACATTATGTTCAAGTCAGCCTTAGCTTTGATTTCCTTTCTATTGTCAAATGCAAATAACATCCAATAAAACTCACAGGACAGCTCATGCAATCGTTTGTAACTGCTCAAAAAACCATCTGTCTTTGCTAAGTACTTGCAGCACACTAATATACCCAACACTACAATTTCTGGTATACAATAAATACACTAGAATATGTGTGTATCAGTAAATAAAACAGTGACATATCTCAAAAAGTTGGGAAATGCGGAAAGAAAGCAGCACTAATTATTACTGCAAAGCTATGTAAAATGAGATGCGGTGAATTCATCGATGGATAAGCCTTTGAGCAACTTGGCCTAGTGGAAGGTGTCCCTACCCATGGCAGGGGGGTTGGAACTAGATGATCTTTAAGGTCCCTTCCAACCCAAACCATTCTATGATTCTATGCTTCTATGGTTCAGAGAGTGGAGAATTCTAAGAGACCATCCAAGGAGACGTTTCCGTAAAACAGCATTGAAAAACTAAACGACGGTCTATTTTATTTCCATCGTTAGAGCCACACTACACATTTTAAAACCAATTAACACAACTCAGAAGTGGGAAGACTACTTCAGGAGAAAAATTCAGCATGCCAATCTTAGCTTTCGAGGCGTCTTTGAGCAAAGAAGATGAAGAAAGGTAGGAGACCAACGTTTTACCCTCAGCTATGACTTTTGCTGTATGCTCTGCTTGGGCAAGGTGCCACATTAGCCATCCTGAAGGACAATATTCTCTACATGTGCAATATGCAAAGCAGAGACTGGTTCTAAAACAATTGTCCACTTTTAACTCCAAAATCATACCTGTAACCTGTTCTGAGACTGTCTCCAGAACTAAAAAAAAAAAGTATATTTTTCTTTTTTTCTTGGTTTTCCTAGTTCTGGATATGTCCTGGAACTAACAAAGAAACTAAAGGCAGTGTAGCAATTACTGTGATACTACCCATGACCTGTAATCAACTAGGTCAAAAGTCTCTTTTTCCTTTTCAAGTAAAGCAGCTTTAAAAATCACTGCAAATTAACATACCTTTAAGATTTTTATTTCTTTTCCAAGCAGGATTTGTGACTTTGACAAGTTCTTTTTGTTAATGCTCTTTATGGCTACTTCCCAATCAGTTTTCTGGAAGCAAACACACATATAAGCATTGTCAGTTTTATATTCATTTAAAACTTTATCCACTAACAACCAAGTAGTAAAGCTCTGGAGAAGAAGTTGCGAGACCACCCCTACTCTACCCACCAGTGATTACTACATCACATGACAGCATCAAGAGCTATTTCATTCCACTATAGCTCAGACAGCTATTAATATCCAGCTGCAGCTACAGTGCATTTTCGTGGATTCAAAAGCATTTTAAAAAAAAAAGTAAGCTATCATATCCCATATATTGCTTGATAGTGGAGCTATGTATGTGCTTCTTACTCCTCTCTCAATGATCAAGATACTTTTACTGTCCTTTATGGGCTTCCCATCTTCAGCCTTCTTATGCTCTACAGCTGAAAACAGCACAAGAAAACATCTGGGGTTTGCAAGTAAACTTATATACTACCTATTTATATATTATCTAAAAATAAATTGCCTATTTATTTATAAGGTGGAAGCATCTCCACTGGCCTTTAGAGTTTATTTTGCCTTTTTTTGTTTTTTTTTTTAACCCCAAAAATCACTGCACTGTGCCTCTCCGAGTTCCAAGCACTGTCCTCGTGCTCCAAGAGGATAAATCTAAGGAGTTGTTTTCTGGAAAGCAGAGCACTTTAGGCACCAACACCAGAATAAACTCTCTCAGCATCAAGAAACCATAACGTAACTATGAATATCCGCGGTGATTAGCTAAGCCACGCCAGGAAACCAGACACCCCTGAATTTAAGAAATCTTCAGCCAATCCCAAAGGAGACAATTTTCCATTAGATCCCTCGTTATCCAGCGAGATAAACATGACCCTCCTGACAAACAAAGGGCTCAGCCTCCCGTACAGCTGCAACTCTCCACTCGCCGTTATGTCAGGGAGCTGCCAAACAGCAGAGAGGAGAGGTGGGAACGCAGATAGGTTGGGGGGAAATAAAGGGTTTATGGAGGCCGGGAGGCGGCCGCTCGGCTCTCGGGCCGCCG